ATAATATTGGAACCTACAAGATGTGGTGGAAATAACATTTAAACTATATTTTTATTTGTAGAAAAAATAGAGACAGTAAGAAACATCAGTGAGTTTTCCCTATTTCTCCTTTTCCCACAATTAAAGAGGGTTAAAAAGGCTTGAGTCTATATATCAAGAAGTCTAAGTATATATCACCCCCAGAGATCACTGTGAAGCAGGTAAGTGGATTTAAGCATAAACATCCTTGAAGCAGGAGGAATGTATAGAACTCATCTGGAAGCCAGGAAAACCTGTGTTCAAATCCTACCTCTGACATATAATGGCTCTATGATCCTGGGCAAGTCATTTAACCTATGGGTATTCTAGGAAGCTCTCAAATCTGAGACCATGTAAGTTTCAGAGAGCATGCTGACCTGCTTTTTGCAAAGGGACTTTCCTTAGCTGGGAGTCCTCCATACCAATGAAATCATGGGCCTGCTTCCCATCCTTACACAGGCATAATGTCAAATGAATAGCCTTTTTTTTTTTAAACAGGAAAATAACTGGAATTAAAGTTCCACAGTAAGGACCTCAAGTAAGTCCAGAAAATTATTATAAGATCCTGGGATTTAGAATTGGAGGGAACTTTAGAGATTGTCTATGCTATTCACGTCAGTTAATAGATGAAGAAACATCCTGAGAGGGGAAGAGATTCACCCAGCATTGCCCAAGTTCTGCAGGACCTAAGGACAAATAAGGATGTCTCTCTAGTGAAAAATCAACAAGTGGAAAGAAGTGCTTGGAGAAATTAAAACTTCTTTCAAAATAAGTTTGTCAAAGAACACAAACAGGTATTTTTCAAATGAAAAAATCTGAGCTATTGTTGGCCAAGGAAAAAGTGTTCCAAATTGCTAATAATAAGGGAGATGAAAATAAACTCTGAGGCTCCACCTTACACCCATTGGATTGGCAAGAAAAAAGATGAAAATAGCATTTATTTGAGGGGCTATAGGCCAGGCACACTAAATGCACTGTTCATAAAGCTGTGAATTAGTTCAGTCATATTTTAAAAATATATGCCTATACACAAAAGTCACTAAACTATACCTACCTTTAAACTTAGAGCAGTACTAAGCATATTTCCCCAAAGATATCAAAGACAGAGGGAAAGGATCCATATATACAAATTTTTATAGCAGCACTTTTTAGTCTAGCAAAGAACTGGGGGGGAAAATGGGTGTCCATCAATTAGAGAATGGCTAAACAAATTTTGGTTTATGAATGTAATAGAATGTTATGCCACAAGAAATGACACATATGAAGTAGTCAGAGAAAAGCATGAGACACACATGGGACATCTGATGCAGAATGAAATAAACAGAACCAGAGAAGCAATTTACACAATTATCACCATGATGAGAAGGAAAACAATTTTGAAAGACTTTAATCAATTAATAAGCACCTATTAAGTATCTACTATGTGCCAGGCACTGTGGGAGCATCTGGGAATGCCAAGACAAAAATGAAAAATACCCCCTCCTTCAAGGAGAAGGTGGGGATTTTTAGGACAGAATATTGTATATGGTATCAGAGAAAGTTTCTGAATCAGAGGTTTCTTGCTCAGTTGTTTTTCATTATCACAGGAGATGGTTCAATCTTGACACAGGAGTGGAAAATTATTTTGATGTAAAGAAAAAGGCATCAATGAAATATATTTATATTTAAATCTATATATTATATATTTAAATTCATATTTCAATCTAAACTATTTTGTAAAAGAAGTGCTTTGAAATCAGAGGGAAGAAGGGGACTATGATATATGGAGTACCCCTCCATCTCATTCTCTTCCTTTCAGTGAATGGATATTTTTTGTCTGTTACTCTGATTTGATCAATGATATAGGAATTTAAGTGAGTTTTTCTGGCAGGCATATTTTGGATATCTATGATGCTAAGGCTGAGGGAGCTTGAAGATTATAACTTGATAGGACAAAAGAAATAGAATTCAACTATAACTCAATCAGCTCTACTTTCCCAGGCTTCATCAAAAGCAGCAAACAATCAGATGTGTTCATTCTGAAGAATAAACTTCACATGGATAGATACTACCATTTCATCACTTCCTATTTATTTTTCTCTTTTCTAAAAAAATTAGATTTTTGAAAAAATTGAAGTTGTGGTATAGGTATGCAATGGAATACTATTGTGCTATAAGAAATGATGAGCAGGCAGATTTCAGAAAAACCTGGAAAGACTTACATGAACTGATGCTGAGTGAACTGAGGAGAACATTGTACACGGTAACAGCAACACTGTATGACGATCAACTATGACTGACTTACCTCTTCTCAGCAATACAATGATCTAAGACAGTTCCAAAAGACTCATGATGGAAAATGCTATCCACATTCAGAGAAAGAACTATGAATGTAGATCAAAATATACCATTTTCTTTTTTGTTTTTTTTTCTTGTGGTTTTCTCTTTTTGTTCCAATTCTTTCACAACATGACTAATGTGGAAATATGTCTAATATGATTGTATATGTATAGCCTATATCAGATTACATGCCATCTTGAGGAGGGGAGGAAGGAAGGGAGAGAGAAAAAAATCTGGAGCTCAAAATCTTATTGAAAGTGAATGTTGAAAACTATCTTTACATGTAATTGGAAAAAACAAAATACTGTTAAATGGGGAGGAAAAGGAAATAGGCCTTACCTCTCTCTAAACTCTTTAGGTCAGGAGTTTTTAACCATTTTTGTGTCATGGAACCCTTGGACAGTCTGATGAAGCCTATAGATGCCTCAGAGAAATGTCTTTAAATAAATAAAACAAAATACATAGCATTACAAAGGAAACTAATCATATTGAAATAGTTACCAAAAAAATTTTTTTAAAGTTCATGGACCACCAGTTTAAGAACCTCTACTTTAGGTAATCTCATCTGCTCCTATAGATTCAATTATCATCTCAATGCAGATGACTCAAATCTAGATAGACACAGATATCAATATCTAAATAGATAGATTGTAGTCCTAATCTCTGTTCTAAACTATCTCATGTTCACCTTCACATGGATGTCCCACAGGCATTTCAAACTCTACATATCCGAAATAGAATTCATCTTTCCAACAAAATCCATCCCTACTCTAAATTTCGGCCACCTTTTCAGTTTCGCAGGCTTGCAACCTCAGAATCTTAGGTCTTCAATCTTTTTTCACCCTACCACATCCAATAGTTGCCAAGTCTCATTAATTTTACCATAACATGTCTCCCACCGATCCTTTTATCTCATTTCAGATGGCTATGATCCTAGTTAATTTCCCAGCATTCTCCTTTCCTGGACATAGAGATAGCCTCCTAATTGGCTTGCCATTTCTTCTCTTTCTAATACATCCTCTCCACAGCTGCCAAATTAATCTTCTTAAAACATGGGTCTATCCATGTCATTCTTGTGCTCAAAAATCTTTAGTAGCTTATTATTACCTCTAGGATAAAATATAACTCCTCCTTTTGGCATTTAGAGCCACCTACACTCTGGTTCCCACTGTTTATTCAAGACTTAGCTCATATAACTACCTTTTATATACCCTCCATTCCAGCCTACCTGGTATGCTAGCTGTTTTCCCAAAGTGACATTCTATCTTTCTTCTCTGTGCCTCTGCGCTGCTTGTATCCTGTGTTGGAACGTACCTGCCCTTTGCCTCCACTTCTTGAAATCCTTAGTGTCTTTTAAGACTTAACTGTGGGGCATCTAGGTGGTGCAGTGGATAGAGCATCCATCCTGGAATCAGGAGGACCTGAGTTCAGATCTGATCTCAGATACTTGACTCTTACTAGCTGTGTGACCCTGGGCAAGTCACCTAACCCTGATTGCCTCAGGGGTGGAATACCTCAGCTCAGGTATGACCCCTCGAGGTGAAGCCTTTCCCAATCCCCCTAGTCCTTAATGATCTTTCTTTCCTAAAATTATTTTGCCCTTACTAATCATTTTACTTTTATCCTCCCAATAAAATATAAGTTCCTTAAAGGCATAGACTGTTTCATTTTGTCTCTATGGAACTTAAAGACATCTGGCAGCTACCATGGTGCCTTGTAACATAGTAGGCATTTAACAAGTGTTTACTGAATTAAATTGACAAGAATCAGAGAACTTACTGGTTGTACTGGATTAGTCGTTGTGACAGGTTAACAAAACCCTCTTACTGTATCTCTCTACTGGACATAGAAAAAGCTTGCATTTATAGAATAAATAATTTGTTAAAATGATATTTATTGTGATGGAATTCCACCTTTAAAAATACAAATTTTCATTAAAATATTGATGTTCTTTGCCTAAAGAAGAGACAGTAGAAGAACCCTTTTCCTGCCCCTCTACTCCACTGCAGAGGTGAGAGAACTACAGGTGTGGTACATTCCATAGATTTTCAGATTTTTGCAATGTATTCATTGGCCTTGCTGCTTTCCCCCCCCTTTTCTTAATTTTTTTTTTTGTGGGGCTGCTAGGTCGCACTGGCCCTGGAGTCAAGAAAACCCGAGTTCAAATCTAGCCTCAGACACTTGACACTTACTAGCTGTGTGACCCTGGACAAGTCACTTAACCCCAATTGCCTTGCCCTCCCCCCAAAAAAATTTGTTCTAAAGGATGTCTTTCTGGGAGATGGAGAGAATATGGGGTTGGGTAGGGATGGAGAATTCAAGCAATGTAAAACCAAAAGAAATCCAAATTTCATTTTTTAAAAATGTCAATGAATGTAAAAAAAGTCCTTGACAGCTCCAGAGACAAATATCTTTGCCTGGACTGTCCACTAAGTGAAACATATGGATCCTTCTAATATCTTTACTACATTATGGTATAGATGAAAGAACTCTGGACATGTGGGCAAAAAAACCTAGGTTTGATTCCTGTCTCTGACACTAGCTGTATGGGTAACCTCTCAGCCTCAGTCTTCTCAGATATAAAATGGGGTAATAACTATCTGACATTGTTGTTGTGAGGAAGGTACTCTACAAATGTGAACTCTTATTTTAACCCTTTCCAGCATTCTCCAGGACATTTTCCAATTAAATGCCAGCTCTGCCAGGTCTTTCCAAGCTGGAAATATTTTGAATATGGGCTCAGTGACCAGATGGACTGCGTTCATCACTCAAAACCAGCCTTTGAGAGCTCCTTGAATTTGGTTGCCCCAAGTTTTTTGGCAACTCAGGAGACCAACTACTAAAGTATGGGTGAGTTTCAATCTACATTAGTAGAGGGAATACCCACTCCAATAAAATCTTTTGGAATATTGTTACAATTGGTTTTGTGACCTTGGGCAAATCAACTTCTTTACATCTATCTTCTCATCTCTAAAATTAGAAGGTTGAACTGGATGGTGTCTAGTGGCCTTACCATTATGAGATTCTCTATATTATCACCTGTCTTCTGCCACTGAAGATTTTTTGTTTTCAAAAGCTAGGGCTAAAACATTGCAAACCTTAAAGCCTTATGTAACTATTACCTATTCTCATCATCATTATTAGGACTGCTGTTTTACATACCATATCACCAGAACAGGATAGACTGATCTCTGAAAATGGAGCTGGGCATTTCCTGGTTTTTATGACTTAAAAGATGACCCACCTAAACGAAGCTAATCATGTTTGAGAGTCCTAGGGCTGTGAGAAAGTGAGAAATTCTTGGAGTCATTAAGCTCTGCCCCTCGCTTCTTGTAGGGCCTGCTTTTGGCCAGCAGGGGGTACTGTCATACCAGCGGAGTTGCTACTGTGTTTCAGTCCTGGGACTGGGCAATTTCCTTGGTTGAGGGGTCGCTTTGAGTTTTGCTCAATGAATGAATGAAAAAAAAAATTGTCTACTAAATAAAATTCAGTTTACACTTAACTAATTGGTTTTATATACATTTCTGAACTGTGTTTGCCAAAAGGAAGATTTTACACCTATTTATAAGTTGTGTTTTTTTTTCCCTTGAGTGGGTTGAAAAAGTTTTTTGAACATCAGACATTTCTTAAAAATATAAAGATTCTGGAGGGTCCTATAATCTCAAAGCTAGAATGAACCTCAGAGGTCATACAGTCCAACTTATACTCAAGCAAGAATATAATATCCCTAATTGGTATTTATTCAGCATCTGATTAAAGATCTCCAATGACAAGGAACTTCTGAAGCAGCCTAGTAAAGCTTTGAACATCTTTATTAAGAATATTTTGACTTGATATCATACTTATACACACACACACTTGTCTTTTTTTTTTTTTGCTTTTTGGTGAGGCAGTAGGGGTTAAGTGACTTCCCTAGGGTCTTAAGCTAGTTAGTGTCAAGTGTCTGAGGCTGGATTTGAACTCAGGTCCTCCTGACTTCAAGGCCAGAGCTCTATCCACTTCACCACCTAGCTGCACCTGTCATTTCCCCCATTAATGTAATCTCCCTACAAGTAAACCCCTACTTCATCCTAGTGATAGTGGGAAACCCTGAAAACCTTGGGACCAAAGACCTAGCCTTGTGGTTTGGAATTAGAGACAACATTGTGACTTTGAGGCTCAATAACCAGATATATTAGGAGCGTAGGCAACTCCCAGGATTTTGAAGTGTGGTATCCTTCCAAGCAGGAAGTAAATCTGGGGCTATGCCTAGCATCAAGTCTCCAAGGCCCACCATAGTATCTGTCACTTAGTATGTGTTTAATAAATATTTGTTGATTAATTAATTATCTCCATTGGGTTAGGGTAGAGATTCTCAATCCGGGCTCTGTGAACTTCTAAAAAAATATATTTTGATAACTGTATTTCAATATAATCATTTTTCTTTGTAATCTTAAGTATTTTGTTTTATTTGTTTTAAATCATTACCCTGAGAAGTAGCTCATAGGCTTCACAAGACAGAGGTCTAAGAAAAAAAAAAAAGGTTAAGAACTCCTATAATAAGAGAAAATGAGATTCCTTACCCTGCTAGGAAAAAATAAAAGGGAAAACCTTTGTTCCCATTAAAACCCCCATTAGAGAAGCCTTGTGACTGCCCGATGATGTAGGCACATGGAACTCTTAGAAATGAAAAGGCAGGCTTGGTATTTAGGTCATTCTTGAAGTCTCCTTGATATTCTGGAGCATTTCCTTTCAGGCTGTTCTCCCCAATTTGAATCCCTTTCTCCACTTTGACCTTTCTCTTCTCAGGTCCACCACACCTCCTCTAATGAGCCTCCAACTCATTAGAGCTCAGCTCTCAAGGAATCCCTTCAAAAGGGCTCTTTCCTAGAGATGCCCCAAAGAGCCCTCACCTTCCCCTATAGACACAGAGTCTAAAGCCTCACAAGTCTTAGGGACCCCTCCTCAAAATTTTCCCACTTCTACATGTCAGAATCCTGGGAGTTGCCTAGGCCCTCAACATATCCTGGTTGTTGGGCACCAAGGCCAAAACACAGTGTCTAGAGCCCAGGTTAAATGACTGTACCCTTGGTTCCAGTGTTTCTTAGGGGTTTTCCTCATTCCCCTGCCAATCTGAACTGATAATAATAATTATTATCATTTATATAGTGCTTTAAGGTTTGTAAAGTTGTTTTTGCAAACCTTTCCAAGGTCTGTAAAAATATCATCTCATTTTAATCCTTACAACAACCCTGAGTTTGTTGTATTGTTCACATTTTACAAATGAGGAAACCAAGGCAGATAGGGCACTGGGCTTGGAATCAGGAAGACTAATCTTCATGAATTCAAATCTAGCCTTAAACACTTAGTAGCTGTGTGACCCTAGGCAAGTCACTTAACCCTGTTTGCCTCAGTTTCCTCATCTGTAAAATGAGCTGGAGAAGGAAATGACAAACCACTCCAGTATCTTTGCCAAGAAAACCCCAAATGGGGTCAGGAAGAGTCAGACACAACTGAAACAAAAAAAAGGCAGATAGAGATACAAAGATCAAAACAAGAAAGTCCTGGAGTTGTTAAATGATGTATGCATAGATTAGTTAATTACTGAATATATGCAAAGTAATTTGGGGAGTGGGGAGGGAATGTGGACACTTCTCTGCCTCTGTATGACAAGCAGCATAGAGATGATATATACCTTTGAATCCCAGTATGACTGGGGAAGAAGACTGAGGCTTTGATCCAAGGCACCGGCATCCTGGGGAATTATGCTTCTTTCCAGAGCCCACCATCCATCCACATGCCTCATGATCCTCCACAGGCCTGTGCTGTCTGACCTGACCGCACTCCCTCCCCCCAGCTCTGCCTGGACACCCTCATGGTTCCATTGCTGTGGCTCCTCTTTCTGAGGCCCAACCTCTTCCTCTTAATCCTTGTGGGAGACTAGGCTGAGCTCTAAGAGAATTGCTGCACTCTCTCTCAGCACCACTGTACTCACAGCTCTTCCCTTTTCCCCCTCCAGGACAAAGAATTCCTAATGACAACTCCCAGACCCTCTAAGACTTGAATTTCATAGGATGTTAGGGGGGGGAAAGTGACTTGAACCTCATTTTCCAGAGGTTATCCCCTCAGTTATATCATCCTCTAATTTCATAAATATTTATGTTCCTATTGTCTCCGGGACAAAATATAAACCCCTTGAGGGCAGGGACCCTTTCAAATTTATTTTTGGCCTTGTATCCCCAAGACTAGCACAGGGCTTGGCATATACTAGGTACTTAATAAATGCTCATTGATTTATGAGAAGAGGGAAAGAAACAAGCATTTATTAAGCACCTACTCTGTACCAGACACTTTACTAAGTGCCTTTACCAGGCACTGTGCTAAGCACTTTACAAATATTAGCTCATTTGACCCTCATAACAACTCTGGGATATAGGTGCTATTGTTATCTCCACTTTGCAGTTGAGGAAACTGAAGCAAACAGATAAAATGACTTGTCCCAGGGTAACAGCTAATAAGTGTCTGAGGACAAATTTGAACTCAGGTAGTCCTGACTCCAGGGTGAGCACCCTGTCTATCCACTGCACCTAATAGCTACAGACTTCTATATTTTTGAGTTTTGCTTAAGGCTCTTTCTTATATATAAATATAATCTATAATCTATAAATACAAAATTAATGGCAGCTCCACAGATATAATGTAATAGGTGTAGGCTGTGATTTGCAAGATTGTTACTCTAAATAGTTACACTGAATTTGGAAAAATTATTCTGGAGAGCCAGAATTATCAGAACTTTTTGGGCCTAGCTGTTACAGTGGTAATCCTTGCTTCAAGTCCACTATTTGATAAGTACTGACAATTTTTTTTTTGAGGCAGTTGGGGTTAAATGACGTGCCCAGGGTCACACAGCTAGTAAATGTCTGAGTCACATTTGAACTCGGATCTTCCTGACTCCTGGGTTGGTGCTCTATCCACTGTACCTCATAGTTGCACCAAGTGTTGACAATTTAATGTGACCTTCTTCCACACGCGCCCTGGAGTGAAGGGAACACATAGAGGAGGTGAAAGGAGAGAAAATAGTAGGATATATAAATAACTACTACAGTTAGGTTCCAATTTGTGAATCCCACAAATCGGTTGCATGTATTTGAATTCACACAAAATTATAATTATGTAAAATATGGTAATTGGTTCCAGCCCAGTGGAAATTTACGTGGTGAATTCAAATAATGCCACCACTTCAGGGGTTTCATTATTACCATTAATTGGAACCTATCTGTTGTCACTCACCTCTTGTACTCCATGTCACTTAATCTCTTTCTCTCAGCTCAGTACTTGTAGACTCCAAGTTAAAAGTCAGGACAATGTCTCAGGCAAATTGTAAAACCCTTTATTCCCTGGAATAAAATTCATTTAAATACTGCAAGGGGAGGGGGAAAGCAAGCTGTTGACAGGTGTAGACAACTGCTTTCAGCTGGGCTTAGAATTTAACAAAGTAAACAGGAACTGGGTAAAGTAGAGAAGAATTTGGCTCAATGCTTCATGGAGTAGAAAAAACCATGGATCACATTCCCACTATAAACTGATAAGCAACTTTTTCCTTTATATAAATACAAGCTTCTGAAATAAGATTAATAAAGCATTCAATTCACCAACAAGCCTATTACATGCTGGGTCCTGGAGATAAAAAAGACCAAAACAAAACAGTCCTTTCCCAGAAGGAGTTTAGCACAGATTGGTAACTACTAAATATATGAAAAATAAATGCAAAGTCATTTTGGGAATGCTAACAAAGGGGAGAATGAGGAAAAGCCTGTTGGAGTGAGGAGCCGATGAGTAAGCTTGGAAGGGAGTTAGGGATCGCAGGTGGT